TGCCGACGGCAGCATTTGCAATCCTAAGCCACAATAACAATAGCTCGATCATCCGAATTCAGACATTCACTCGCCGAATTGATAGGAAATTCGATACAGCCCACATTGTCATGGTCGATCCTCAGACATCGTGTCCATTTCGATTTATGGCGGTCGATCCATTTGCTGACGGCATCGGGTCTGTCGTTGGCGTCCAGCTCGCTCCCCATTCCTCGGCCATGGTGGTGTCTCTTGATTCCGATATCTTCTCTCGTATGGAAGACTCTTTCAAGCCTATTTTGGGTCCACATAAGTTCAACCAAGTTCTTATAACAACCAAGGCTTGTAAGATTACGCTTCCTCCGTCATCAAAGCGTGCGAGGCTGCGGCGCACATTTCCGTCGAGACTGAGCTCACACAAAGAGGCCTAGAACTACTTGACGGCCACCGGGTTGTCTTGAGGTGTGGCACTCATGTGGGAACTGTCTATCTCTTTGACTTTACTGACAGAATGTCCGGTTGATGGCATAACCAAAAAAGATGACTGGGTCCTGGGGCCAAATGGATGGCTAGTTGGCCCTGGCACCTCAATGCCAAATATAAGCTGCCGTCTCCACTCTGATCGAGGAGGTCAAATCCAACCCTCTTATCTACATCTTTAGGAGCCGTGTCTTACAGCCCTTCCAACCCTAGTAGGAATATCAAAACCGAACGTTCAACTTTCGTAGCATCTCTAAATTCTGCCTCGGCGCTTTTCGCCCCTTGTTTCGTTTCAGGGCCACAGCGTGCGATAGCGCGCGTCACCAGTGTCATTCCCACCACAGTTCTGCCCAATTAATCGAAGAGGCTGCAAGCACCCAAAACCGCAAGGACAGTGGCATCCGAGGCGGCAAGATGAAGGCAAAGGAAAACCGAAAACTTCAAGAAGAACCAAGCCACGCCCAGTCGCGGACCAAGAAGGGCGCACCCAATTGCAGCAAAGTAGGAATCAGGCATCCCAAGCGCCCGAGAAATACCAATTAAATGTAGAGCATGGTATCCTTGATGCTGGGGTGAACAGTTGCCTGCTCTCCTCGGGTACATGACCACCGCTTTCACCGGCCACACTACCCGTCCGAGTCGCAGAGGGAGTCGGGTCGAACAGATCACTCATGTAGCAGCGAGCACGGGTGCAGACGAGATCGGCGTAGTAGGCGGGCGGACACACGCTGACGGCCTTGGTGGCTCGGCCGAAGAGGTAGCACATCTTGTGTGTGAGGTCCTGGAGTCTATCGGCAGCGCCGCTGCCGGGTCCGACGCCAGGGTGTAGTGGGTAGGAGATCTCGTCCCAGACGGTGAAGTAGTGGGCGGGACGGGCGGTGCCTTGCAGCGCGGAGTGAGCCTACAGGTAGAAGTCCCAGTCGCGGGCCTCGGAGATTCCGCGGTCGACGACGGTGCCAGGTTGAGGGTTGGCGGAGCGTTCGGCTTCACCATCGGATGTTGTAGAAGCAGGTGTTGTGGCGCTTTCCAACACGACAATGGCCATGCGCGGCAGGCCTTTCTTTGTATCCGAGGCTGGGTAGATGTTCTGGCAGGCTTTCTTCAGGAGAGGCAGCTCCTTCTCAATGACCATATCGTATTGGCCCTCCGACACGCCGTCACGGTAGACGACGGTGTGTTCCGGGAACTTACCCTTGTTGTGCTTTGCCCAAATCTTGGTGCGTGATTGTAGAAGGGTATCGAGGTCAGAAACTATTTCCTGGCGCGTAGGCTGAATGTGAATATCCGCGGGCCACTGTGCGAGTTGCGCGTCGACTGAGGCGACGATGCCGACCACACTGGATGCCGAACTGGTGGAACCCGGTGAGAGATGGGTGACGTCGAGACCGACGAGCATGGTCTTGCCATCGGCGAAGAAGCCCAGATCCGAGGTTCGAAGGGTTTGATTAGCACCTCCCATCTTGAGGTTGATTTTCAGGCCAACATTTGCCCAATATTGCACGTTGGCACCCCTCACCTTCTCGGCTTGCACGTTCACGTTTCGCACACCGCAGCGTACGTGGCACACTTGCTTAACCGTATTGTAGACCTGGGTGTCCTTGGCGAACAGAATACCTAGAATGAGAGCTCGGGCTTATGTTTTTCTTGCAAGAAACGTACGGCCTTCTCAATAGCCGGAGCATTGTCGGCATTAAAGGCATATTCAATCCTTGTGCCTCCCTTAGGCTTCTCAGCCGCGACACCCATATTTTTGAGAGTCTGGACAAACTCATCTAGTGAGCCGGCGAGCCCCTGTGGAGAGAGAACGTGTCTGCTCTTAGGGGCGTCGATGAAAAGCCAAACCCAGTTCTTCAGTGTAGCAGGTTTAGAGAACTCAATAGACTGCATGTTCCAGCTGCCAAATGGCCTGGAGCTCTTTCTGCTTGGCGTAAATAATCCGGGGAGCTGGCAGGACACGGCCCTGCACAGTTATAAGACTGTCGCCAAGGTTGATTCCGAAGGAAGACTAGAACAGAAAGTGAGCATGGTCACCTGAGCTCGGGAATTTCCTTGATACGGCAGTTGCTGAAATGAGGGAGTGAGGATGCCATGGCAGTCGTCCGCTTACGAGTGTGGCATTCAGTGACTGACCGATTCCTAATACCCACCCCTTTCGTGACAATAGACTGAGCATCTCTGCTGGCATGCGGCCTTTGACCGCAAAGTTAAGCATATTTTGTGTCTGTTTAGGGGAGAGCTTGTTTTTCACAGGTTCAGCAGACTCGACCTCGCAGACTTCCCCGGGGAGGTAGACGGGTTTGTCTCGGGTTCCGACGTTAACAACGGGGAGGTCGGGATTCACAGTGATGTTGTACTCTAGAGGAACGAATCAATGTTGAGCAGAGTATCATTATAATTACCACCCGTATCAATACGACTCACCTTTCCTGACGAAATCAGCAACGCTAATGTACTGCCCGGCTGGAGGAGGGCCAGCTTTGGGAGGGGCCTTCTTGCCCTTCTTGCCCTTTTTGCCCTTACCTTCTCCACTACCAGGCTGTGGAGACTGTGAGCCAGGAGCATCCAGGAAGAGCTTCACACTGTGGGGACCAGCTCTGTAGCCACCCACCTTTGGGCCGTTGGGTGCTGAACTACCATCTTGGGGAGTTGCCAGACCGGATATGGCCTTGACGCGAGCGGGTCTTTCTTTGCCTTTTTGCCCTTGCGCTTGATATGAGTGATGCAAACACGCATACGCTTCAGAAAAGCCTCCATCCGGTAGGAACTGGCCTTAAAATTGCTAGACTTCCACTCTTGAATCATATATTCAAGGGCCCTGATCTGTAGCAGGCCAAGTACTTCACCTGGACATTTAGCAGGACACGGGCTGTGGCAGCTCGCACACTGACGAAGGATCCGCGAAGCACCTCCAAACCACCCTCGAGATGTATTTTAAGGCTTGAAACCTGTCTTCGCTCTCAAATTATTCAACCCTTTTCCTTTCCTCCTCTTGTTTGAATCACGTACACCCTCATTATTTCTCACCAGCCTTCCAGTTCAAGTCTTCAAACAGGCAGCTTGCCTACGCTCTGATGCTTCTTTTTTGCCTTCACTATGGCTTCACCTATCAGTAGACGGTCCCACAATGCGTTGGTAGAGCGAGACCGGGTATGATATATTACTTGCTTAAAAGTTGTCGATAATACATGAAATCACGTTAACGATGAATATGAACAGCAAGTAAGTGACGTCCCTCTGTGTTGATAGATGATGGCTGCATGGACAGAGCATTGACAGCGGGGGGACAGCTTGTAAGTGATACCCCTCTGTGTTGATGCACGATGGCTGCACGGACATAGCATTGACTGTGGGGGATACGGACAGGGTGTAAGTTATGCCCCTCTGTATTGGGGGATGATGGCGGCGCCGGCTAGAGACGCTGCTGTCAAAACTTCCAGAAGGTTGCTACCCCTGACCTCGCAAGCCGGAAGAACCACATGTCTCAGAAAGCGTCCAAGTACAGTTCAGGTACGGGCAAGAGAAGTATGAAGAGGATCGGGATGAGAAAGTTCGAGACTTATGACCAAATCGCTTCCAACCCCATCCGATCCAGTAGGGCATTTTGCTGAAAATTCTTTTACGTATCTCTCTCGCCAGGTTTCTATAAACCCTAAGCCGGCCGATTACTCAGCGGGATTTGACGTGCCTGTGGTTACAGTATCCATATGGATAGTTAGCGATTTTACTTTCCGTAAGGCGGCCGAACCGCCCGAAACGCCCGAACCACTAAATGCCCCATCCAGGTTTGTCCGTTGTGGAACATATTAGAAAAAAAGGCTTGGCGGGTGAATGATTAGATCATTAGGGTCATTAATAAAGCCTTGGTCGCAGACAGATCCACCGCTTCAATACAACCTACACATATCTCATTCAGTTGATCGGTTTCGGTTCTCGTATTCCAGGATGCATTCTACGGCTTCATTTTGACCTGCCCTACCGCCAGCATCGTTATCTTGCCATCACAAGGCAGTGTGTGGTGTGTGATTTCCCTGCTCTCGTCGGTACGCCTGCGCCCACCGGCAGCCTTCGTGCATTTCCCCCTCTTCAATATAAATCATGATCATTGATGTGGTCTTCCACGTCTGGGTGGCAAGCCTGCGTCGGGTAAGATAGTCATCGCCGTATTTTATTTCGGCCGTTTGGCTTCCCATTCATCAATAAGCCTCGATACTTCCCTAAAAGAAACAGGCTTCATAAGGAAAAGGTCCACTCCTGAATCCAAGGCTCTGAACTGATCGCGCGAACTGCTAAGTCCTGTTAATGCGATGATTGTTGCCGGAATATAGTCGTCCCGTTCTTTCTCAATGGCACGAATGGCGCGCGTCGCCTCAAATCCGTCCATAACTGGCATAGACATGTCCATGAAAATAAGGTCATATCCCTGCTGCATCCTTTCAACCGCATCGACAGCCGCTCTGCCATTCTCGGCTTTATCTAGGACCACGACTTTTCGTTTGTTCATGAAAGTCATCATGAGGTGAAGGTTGATGTTGTTGTCATCTACCACCAAGACCCGAGGTCTGTTTTGGCTACCAGATAAGGCGCTAACATGACCTGAGCCGCCGCCAGATGAAGATCGAGTAGAGGAAGAAGGCCCGTCATTGCCGGAATCAGTACTACCCGATATTATACAATCAGAGCTGTCAGTACGCGACGCAGACGCAAAAGCGCTACGCTCTGTAGGATCAATGATGCAATTGCTGGACCCCGGCAGGGGAATTGATGGTTCAACATCTAGTGATTGTCCATTTCCTGGTAATGAGGGGTTGAACTGTTCAATTGGCAAAGTCGAGCCTATATGAGCGGGTCGCTCTGGAAGTACTAAGCCTTGCCCGAAATTCTGCGGATTGGACGTGGGCGCTATCGGCTTTGTATCAAGACAGCTCAAAATACCGCGGGAAAGTTTTCGTGGACCGCAAGGTCGATGAAGAATTGCCAGAGAGTCAGCAAGATGCGACCATTGTGCCCTACGATCACCATAGTCGCGCGCCTCGCTGCAAAAGACGAGCAGGCTTGGCAATTCTGTTGGGAAACCCTGTGTTTCTTTTGTAGACAGATCCTTTTCATCCGCAAACAGAATATAAATAGGCTCACTGGCAGGGAGAGAAACAAGCTGCAGATCATACCAATCCGTGATATACCGAGCTATGGAAGCCCAGAACGGATGCTCGCCGAGTCGAGACGGATCGATTCCCCAGATGGCAGCACGTTTCCCACTACAGCCGACACGTCGGAGTTGAGAAGATGCCGTAAGTAAATTTTGGTCCGACTTTCCCTTCTGAGACGTCGATTGTGGGTTTTCATCCCCCACTAGACGCTCGAGAGGAAGCGACACCTTGACAATAGTGCCTTCGCCCTGTCGGCTTCGAACATTAATTTTCCCGTTGAGGGTTTTCACGATGCCGCGGACAATTGATAGACCGAGGCCAGTTCCTACTGACAGCGGATCTTCTTGCGAGAACGGGGTGAATAGGTGCTTCCGAAGATATTCCTTCGAGATGCCCTTACCCGTGTCTGAGATGGTCAATGTCACCATATCTTCGAGACCCTGGCGTCGAGAGCGACCCTTCGAGCGGTCGGTGACCTCCATGGAGACAGAGATCCGACCCTTTTTAGTATACTTCAGTGCGTTGCCAAGGATATTCATAATTAGGCGTCTCAGCGACCCTGGCTGGACTTTGTACATCCAGTCATTATCAGGAATGTCAATGACGACATCCACTTCTGAAGTGTGATCAACTTGGCTGTCACCTTTTGCTGACTTGGAAGACAGTGTTGACAAGATGTCTGTGGAGCCATTGGTGGACGTGGCTGACCTCTGTATATGGGTATGGCCCAAGGAGACGCTGTCTACAACATCCTCTATCAAGAGAGCCACATCTGTCAAAACCAATGTATCCAGGCGCGCCACAGTCTCCTCGGAGGGTTTTGGTTTCCACGGATCTTTTCCACGCCTGAAGGTCTTCTTGTGTCTTTCCAATGACATAATTTTGCTGAAGTCTAAAACTTGGTTCATTGTATCCAAGAGAGTTCGACCACACGCATTTATCGTATCAAGGAGGGTATACTGGAACTGGTCCAAGGCAGTACTTCCGAAAAACTCGGCCGCAGCCAAGACACCATGCAGCGGGCTGCGTAATTCATGGGAGATGCTGCTTATAAAATCCCCCTTTTGGCGGTCTGCGATAACTGACTCAACACGGCTGTACTCGGTCATGATAGAGGATCCGAAGGCAAATACTGAGCTCAGATCGACAGCGGGACTGAAAACTCGCGTTGGCCGGGGAGTCCAACAAAAACACCCAGCGAACCACTGAGAATCTGTGGCATTCCACAGTGGGACAAACATGACCTGACATGCGTCAGGGAAGAATTCATTCAGTTTTCTGGTCTCCGAAGCCTTTGACTTCTTTCTTTCTTTCCGAGACTCTTCGATTAACTGGTCTTCCGAAGTTGAAAATGTCCCATCGTGGTGAAACGACCAGAGTTTTCCTTTAGGATAGCGATGCATCAACTGTTTCAGGAAGACATTGTCAAGATTGACAGCTGGGTCTGATAACGTAGAGCTCGCCTGGTATGAAAATGGATCATCCCTGGTGGACAGCGCAAGAATAGGAGCAGGATTTGTGGATTCAGTGGAGTCAGAATGACCGGCTGCGACATATTCGCAGGAGTTGTCACTGGTTTCCAAAAACATGACACCCCCAGCACCATTCAAGTCCAGACTTTGGCGCAGGAGGTTCGCAGCACGTTGGAAAAGCCAGTGGTTGCTGCTCGAGGAGTCCTCTGAACTACTCTCGTCCTGTCGCGAGCTGTGCAACGATGCCGTTGGGCTAGGGGGAACACATGTGTCATTCTGGTTGGAATCTCGGCTCAAAATTTGCATATCGCCGTTCTGGGACCCATTCCCTGATCCAGAGCTTGACGAGCGAAATTCCAGTTCATCATTTTGCGAGCTTGTAGATCGGCAGGCTCTGAGGTGAGGTGACGTCCGCGGGGACAAACTCTGTGCTGAGCTGTTTGACCGAGACGACATGTGAGCGTTGCTGGCAAAACTGGAGTTGCCATCGACAAAAAGATGGAGACCACGCGATAGCCGCGAGGCCCGTCGCCCTTCTGCAGCTTGACGGCTAACCAATAAATAATCCATTACCAACTCTGCCACTTTTCCTAATGTATCCTTCTCGATATCAGATAGCCCTTCGCGAGGTTCAGAATCCAATACAAACAGACATCCCAAATTGATACCGCTATGGCTGGTTAGTGGCGTTCCGGCATAAAAACGAGAGTGTGGCCCTTGTGTCACAAAAGGCAGTCCTCTGAATCGTTCTTCCTGTTGAAGATCATTGACAACCAAAAATGAATATAATCCATCTTCGCTGTCTGAGATAATTGCAACTGTTTCCTATTCGAAGAAATAGGCGTCAATATGTTAAATATTGCAACATTCCAAAGATCGGCTTACCTGGCATATGTTCCAAGCATCTGGCAGTGTCGATGTTCCAGCGAAGAGTGTATCTCCTTCTCCGGCAGACGACTTCGAGCTTTTAAGATTGGAGTTTCTTGTGGCTTCAGCCAATATAAACTGGGAGTCGGTGTTCAATACACTTTGGAAAGTCAGATCAGAGTATGCGCTAGAGCAGGAGAGTAATATACGTTATAAAAGCACGCTGCGCGCTCAGGCGTAGAGCGGCCAGTTGTGCAAAAGAAGTCAAAGTTGTATTTGGACTTGATGGAGAGCTGCCTTGCACATAACTTGTTTTTGCGTCGGAGCTATCTGGTACAAAAGGGGATGTAACTCCAGAAAAATCTGCTGTTGAGGCCACATGCTCATCAAATTGAAGAAGTGATGCATTAAGCGCTGCTGGATTTTCCGGCTGGAAGTATCGATATACCTCGCGTTTCTGACGGTCTGCCTCATAGTCCATGGTCTGCCTATGTGGATTGTCCATGACCTCGAAGGCAAAAAGATATAGAATATTAACAGGCGGGGGTGAGAGAGCTACAAGATGCGAGTTGTGATAGTCATGTCCACATACGTCATTCATTGCACGTGACGTCCTGCATGTGTCGATCGCGTGCCAAGGTAAGGAGCCTGCTAAAACAGCTCTGAGACCTTGACGTAATAGGTCAAACGTGCATGGCTAGCTCGACCTGCTCATTATTGATGTGTATGGCCACTAGGTACCTAGCCCTGGAGCCCTGGAGGTAGCCCGGGTTTACATAAGAACATAACACAACAAACTTGATAACTAATATGGAGACGTTGCATAGTCATAAGTAGATCAAGTAATTAGGTACACAAAATTCGACAGGTAAGGGCGAGATATCGTGTTGAAAGCCAGTCTGCTTTCACTTGAGTATGAATATCCCCACGTGAGGCAGCATGATAAAGGAAAGAGAAGATGGGTGCAAGGAGAGTATCTGCCAGGTTGTAATTGGAGCAAAAAAGTAAAAAGAAAAGGCTCGGGTATTATGCAAAAAGAGATGACAGAAACGCCAGAATGCTGGAGGTCTAAACAGAGTGGGAAAAAGAGTGATGTTGATGGGCCATCGGCGATATCTCCCCTAGGATCGGTGTCCAATGCCTAGATCATCAACGGGGGAAACGACTAAAGCGTTGACAACATGGCCAGTCTTCCACCCCTGGTCAACAAGTGGTTCACGCTCATTCAGCAAGTGACCCAGGTAAGCGATCCGAACGCGCCTATCATCCTTGAGCTAAGCAACAAATCAGTAGTAATCCACCAAACGAAACGAACAAATCAACAAGGGAGAAAAACCAACCTTAGCTTCTTTATGCACCTTCCTCGCCAAAAGTCCCACAGTCTGACCCTTACCAATAGAAATCAGGATATCCGGACCTCCATGATCGCTCAAACGAGCGAGCACACGGATCAGATCCCGCTCACTTGTTTTCCCCTTCTCCTCACGGCGGCGTTCAACATCCTGAGAAATCAACTCGTCCCCGGAGGCATCATCCGTAGCGAGCTTACCATCCGAGAGCGTCCCAGTATCTGGTTCTTCTTCATACCCAGCAGGACCGCCATCTTCACTAGCCGTCCGCGAAGACGAAGGAACCATATTCTCCGGATCACTGACAACACATTGCGGAACCCTGTAAAGCACGCCCTGTTCATCATAGCAACCCTCACAGAGGTCTCCGGTGGGAACAGTAATCCCCGCAGCATCAACAATACTCTGCGCAGTAACCAAGTCACCGCTGCGAATCAGTGATATCACCGCCGAAACAGCAGCCCAGATCTCCGGTCTGCCAGTAACGCGCGTCTCGAAGAACTCGGCGCGCTCGCGGTCCAGCTGTGCGCGTGTCCATGTTCGTCGCTTGCTACGCCACACATGGTTGCGCACTGGCTCGTTGTAGTGTTCATTTAAAGGGATGTTCGAGGCACGTCGGGTTCGTTGCCTTGGGTGCGTGGAGCGGTCACCGGTATCCCTCGTGGCTGTTGTGCGTGTGATACGTTCCTGGATGGGAGGTTGGTTGTCGATATTACGCGACAACACTGACGCGCAGCATCCCTGTGTTGAAATGGAGATTGTTAGTTATGGGGCGACTGCGGGTTTTGCTTGTAAGGAGATGAGAGTCGGGGCTTTAAGTCGTGTGACATTCGATGCCAAGCAATATGACCAGTCTTAATGATGATGATATATTTATAGGTTCTGGGGTTCGGTCGGGGTCGAATTCTTACCATCTTGCTTGCGATCAAGAAGCTCCATATGAGGGGAAATAGTTTGAGAGGGGCTTGCGTGGAGTAGTGGTCAACGCTCTAAAGCGAACTAGATCCTCGAGGCTGAGCACAGACCTACTGGGGAAGAGACGAGGCAAAAGGAGGCAGCTGTCGAAGGAAAAGGAATAGAAAATGAAACAGAAACAAAGAGAAACAAGGGTACATTCCACGATTTCTCCCATTCGCGCACCTAATGCCGATGGGACGACTCGAAGTCGCACAGTGATCTACGGAGCACAATTGCTTAATTCGTACAGAGTACAGGGGGTATAACTAAAGTACATGAATTCTCATTTGATTATACAAATAAGCGCAATTCTACTCATCTTCGTCGTCACTTCCAAAGATAGCTTTGAAAACAGCATCACCGGGCCGCTCTGCCTCCAGGGCATCATTGCGCTCAGGTTCAACAACTACCGGTGGTGGTGGTGGCGCCACGTTAGCAGGCTGACCACTTGCAGATGGATCAAGGCCGTCAGCTGTAGGGAGGTAACCTAACGAGTCTATGAGAAGTTGGTTCATGACATCCTGCGACACCAATTGCTTTGGGCCAGTGTCAGCTTGGAATCCAGCGGACTGGAGGCGCGTTCCAGGTCCGGAAGTGGAGGCTTCAGGCTGTTCGCCAGGGTCAAGCTGCACACTATCTGGGGGTTTGACGTTGAATCGCTTGCATAAAAGACGAGATGGGTAAAAGGGGACTGTGCTTCGAGTCATTGGGCCGAACATGCCAATTTTGGCAGCTGCTACTGCAGGATCCTCTGGCTTTTCAGCGGGTCTGCTGAGCCCAGATTCTGCGGAGTCGGGGGCATCTGAGACAATCTTGGGCGCGGTGGAAGAGGAGGTAAATCGGGATGCCATAACTCCCGACATGGGTTTGAAGACCTCTGCAGCTCGGCAAAATTCTTGCATCTCTATAACCCATTCATCGGTGCTGGACCTTTCCACCCGTTCTGGGAGGGTAGAGCGAGTCCCGGCACTAACTTGGAGGAATGTTTGGTAGCGTGCACGCTTTTTCTCATCTTCTTGGTAAGGCATCCATCCACTAACGGCCCGAGCTAGGGCTTGGGCGGCAATATGTTTGTCAAGTTTTGGCACGAGGTCCCAAAGATCCTTGCGCTTCTGTGATTCAGGGAGCTCGTATCCTTTGGGTGCCTTTTCTCCTAAAGCTGGAGGTAAATTGGCGTTGCCGGTAAGTTTGACAATCTTCTCTCGTGCCTCGGGAGTCATATAATCAAATATAGACTTCCCAGGCAGTTGATCCTCGCCCAGAAGTGCTGCTCTGGACGTGGGATTGAGAGACGAGGCTTTTGCGGCGTCAGCTGTAGACACATACTTCGATTGATCTCGTTTTTCTGAAGATATTTCCTTGGCTGGTTTCCAGTCCTCAGGTATCACAGGAGGATCGTATTTTTTCTCCGAAATCGACAGTCCCATGATGCCATCGGCAAGAATGAATCCGTCTAGCGGTAGGCGCCCGTCGCGGCACTTTCTGAAACCTCCGGCCCCGCGTGCTGCCGCCACCTTCTTCGATATGAACACGGGCTTTGAGTTCAAGAGTGGGTTGGCTGAGGCGATTGTTGGTTCTGGCTTGACCTTTTTCTTCTTCTTCTTATCTCCTCCGATGGTCTTGTTATATGAGATCTGCGGACCCAGAGAATAAGGATCCTCGTCGTCCGACCCGGTATCATTGAGAGGGCCAACCCCGAGTCCTCCCCGTCGTGATTCCTTCGGCTTCGGGGGCTGAGCTTTCCCTTGAATGGCCAATCGCTCCCCAAAAAACGAATCCGATTCCTCGGCATCTGGGATGGGTTGTGAAGCATTGCGAGACTCTAGGCGCGATTCGCCTTCAAACCCAAGACCTTTGCGGTCGGTCTTTCGAATGAAGGCAACCATGGGTGGGTTTTCAGGAGCAAAAAGGTATGTTTCCTCCGCGGCACCACCCGGAGCAGAGCTTTCGTGCAGATTTGCTTTGCGTCGCACCTTAGGTCCGATCCCTTGGCCTTCGCGCCAACCCATCTTTTTCAAGAGCTTCACTCCCATAGTTTCCCCACTTGTTTTCAATATATCTATGAGTCCGGCTCTGCGCGTAGCATCTAGCTCGGTCGATCCGAAACCGGCGAATTCATCGGCGGTCTGTAGTTGTCTGGATTCTTCCTGTTCTCGCAGGTCATCCACGTCCATAAAATCTTCGGGGCGTTTTTGTTCGGCTTTCTGGGCACGGTTCTGGCGCGATGAGACAAAGGTCGTGGGGGTCCATCCTTCTTTTGAGCCGACGGAGTTGAAGTATCTAGAAGACGTCAGTGGTTGTCCTTCCAAGGGTCATTGGTTTGGGGACTACTCACCCCGCGCTGAATCCACCGGTGAAGGCGCCATGAAGACGTTTCCTCCCTTGTTCGTCCCTCACTTCCTGTTTCCATATTGGCACAAAGGAGCCGTCATCGCGAACAGCCTCATCAAGTGGTGGTAACGGGGTTCCATAGAAGGCGTACGGGGATTGCTCTGCTTGAAGATCGGCCTCAAGCGCGGCGCGTGTACGTTTTAGGGCCATAATTTTCGGATGGGACAGTCACCCATGAGGAGTTATTGGTCACGTCATCTGCATGGGAGAAATAGTGTGTGATAAAAGAGTAATGAAGATGTGTGAGAGTCGCGTTAGCACTTAGTTGCAGGTTTCTGCCTGAGGCCTGGAGGTCAAGTCTCTAGCTTATATAAGAACTGAGTCAGGAATGAAGAACCTTCCAAGGTTCCAAGGTTGGAACATCCTTGGACTAACCCTAACGTTCCGTGTTCTAATATTGTATATAAATCAGTCTTTACTCTATTCTCTAATTTGTAAATTTTATAAAATACATATGAAATAGTTCAAAACATGTAATATCACTTGTAATACTCGGCAGATACGCAAAGAGCTGTATCCGAATCAAAGTGGACTCAGCCTCTGCTATCCCGAGGGTTCCTCCTGATTGGGCCCGCGGGTTGCTCGCCACGTTCCTCTGATCTTGATTTGGTCTTGAACCCCCTGTAAGGAGATCTACATATTCTTCTATACGGAGTACTCCGTACAACGTCCCTGGTGTCTCCGTATCTATTGTTTCAATAGGCCCGTTATCTCTTAAATAAAATATTCCGTGTAATTTTAATAGAAGACCAAAACTGTATTAGTACGATGTTTGCTTGTTGAACCCTTGGCGTCTTGGGGCAGACTTTGGAGACTTGGTAGGCTAAGGGGCCTTAGGGCGACTTTTGCCTTTTTTTTCCCTTTTTTTGTTCTTTCATCTTCTCAACTCCTAGGTGTTTATTAC